ATTTCTGGAGTACACTTGAGAGTTCTGAAAACCTTTTGTGATTGCTGCACAATTGGTTTTTTTGATCGTTGTATCCTGGAGGTGATTGTCCACAGAGGTCGCAGCAGTTATCGACGGGCAATTTGGCTTTAGGACATCGTGCTGTCACGAGACTCGATCTATTGATAAGTTTTTCTGCACTTTACTGTTATTTTATCCAACAATCATATCATATCATACATAAGGAGAACAAAAGAAAAATACTGAATTTAGTTGATGGAGATTTATTGTGCGTAATGTTACTAAACTCCCGTTTTCTTATCACAAGTGTACTTTTGTAGGGCCCATAAATTTTATTCTGAAAACATACTAACACTGTAGATAAAATTTCATCACACTTACCTGCTTGGAACTAAGAAGATGCGTTAAAACTCCTTGAAACAATTCAACTTTTTCCCTTGCTCTGACCTATCAAAAGTACTTATTGGGTATTGGGTATTGGGTGTACTTGTGCGCGCGCGTGAGATAATGTAAGAAAAAGGAAAAAGTAAGAGAACGGGAGAGAAATGAGAAAGAGTAGATGTGTATTGAGTGGGTGTCGTGTGTAGTATGTATTTATACTGATATGTTTGGGTTTGGTCTTGCTTATGGTAACGGTTGATTTGATTGTGTTGCTAATTCCATGCTTATAAAATATATGAATTTGTACTCATGTAATCACGCCCTTGTTTTGTTTAGATAAAAAAGTTAATAAAAGCATATGTCAAAGTCAATAATTATTTTTAACCACATATTTAATGGCATCTACAACTTTTATCAATTTTCAATCACGCATTTCATTTACTTTCATCAACATTTACTAAAAATCTATTTTTTAGCAAAACCAAACAAGGGCCGTATATATGATTTAACATGTGTGTCTAATATTTAATATATCATTTCCTTGTGAATGACAACAAATATAATAATTTTCCATGTTCTTTAAAATAAATATGATTGGAATAACTTTTTATTTGATTGTAGTCACTTAATATAAGAACTAGTTTGAAAATATGAAACCGCAAAGGAATATAATCATATATTTCTTTGGCTTAAATTGCATACATTTTTTATCATTAGCAAAGACAAAATCTTCCATCGTCCAAATTTTCCTCCCTTTCATTCCTAAATTATATTTGACCACTACATTGATTTTTTTATAGAGTTTACTTTAATTGGTCAAAACACTGCTCACGGCTAGTTTTTCCTCGAATTCTACAGTTTATTCATCCAAAAACTAATCCTTGAACTTTCAAAATTTTACAGTAAGGCCTAAATTCAAAAATGACAAGGGAATTCGGGTGTTATAATAATTTCTCAATTGGTATTAGAATTTAACATAGTATTTTCTTAATGAAGAGTGGGTTTGAAATCTTAAGGGACGCGATAAAAATTCGTGAGGGATAAAATAGGCACATGCTCTGACAAAGTGGAAAGTATGTAAGGGAACGACTTGGACACATGTTTGGATTGTCACAAAAAAATGTGTTTTATTTTTTATTTTGTGACAACCTGGGCTGTGCCCAAACCATTCTTTTACTTGAGCCTATCATCATCTTACCCCTCACAAATTTCTATTACGTCCCCCAGTTGCACATACGTATTTCAGACAAATTGACACAGACAATGAGGAAGTCTTCCCGTGGAATTACACTTATGTCCTCACTGATCTTTTTTTTTTTTTGGCAGTAAATCATAAATACCTTTACTGTATATAAGACTTTGTTTTCCCAACCAAGGCACTATTCTAGAAAACATGAGACTGGCCATTCCATAGGTTATATAACTATGTTCTCTGATTGAGTGGCCATTAAAAGACAAAATGTTCATAAGATTAATATATAATGAAATTGAGGAGATAACTTGCTAAGATTGATTGGTAGCTATATTAGAATGGATAGATTAATAAATGAAAATACATGTGAACAAATGGAGATGGCATCAATTGGATATATATATTAGGGAATGATGTTTGTGGCATGTCTTTGACTTGCATAGACTTAAAGAAGTTTATTCCATGAGAGGGATGAGATTATAGGAAAAGACTAAAATGACCAGGTGTGGTGGCAAATGATTTGATTTCTTTGAATCTCTCTCAGTGGATTTAGATCTAGGGAATTTTGCAATGTCGGCTTTTTTAGTTTTTCCATGATTTAGTACCTTCATTTATTATCATTTGATATATATGCTAAAGTTATCATTTCCAATTAATTCCCTAATCTCTTATTTTTTTACAGGTGATTGAACTTCCAATCAAACATCCTGAATTGTTTTGAGTCTTGGAATTGCTCAACCCAAGGCAATAAATTTGTTAAAAATTATTTCATTAATCTCTGGAAGCTTCGTCTAATAGCTTCATTGCTTTGAATTGTTGAAGGGAGTCTTACTCTACGGGCCTCCAGGCACAGGTAAAACACTGCTTCCAAGGGATGTGGCTCACCATACTGACTGCACTTTTATTCGAGTTTCGGGCTCTGAATCAGTTCAGAAGTACATTGGAGAAGGCTCAAGGATGGTTAGAGAACTTTTTGTGATGGCTAGGTTAGTTTTATTTGCCTCAAGCATTGTTTATGTATGATTTGTTCCAAATGCGTGCCCTTTTCTTTTTAGCCTTTGTGGTTGCGGCTATGGTTACTCTATGTTCTCTTGATATGCATATTAAATGAATAAATGATATATTGTCATTCAGCATTTTTTTTTTTAAGCACTCAACTATTGGTTATCTCTTGACACAGAGCATTCTCCATCCATCATTTTCATGAATTAAATTGATAGCATAGGATCTGTTCGCATGGAATCTGGAAGTGGCAACGGGGATAGTGAGGTTCAGAGAACCATGCTGGAGCTTCGCAATCAACTTGATGGATTTGAAGCATCTAACAAGATAAAAGTATGTTAAAGTTCTTGTCAACTTCATATATAGCCTTTTACTTCCTTTTTGACTTGCTCCTAGTTTTAAATTTAGTCAAGTTTGTTAAGAAAATGCAAATGGAGATAATCTTCAATAAATAAATGGTATATACAGGTGTTGATGGCCACGAATAGAATTGACATTCTGGATCAAGCAAGGCCAGGAAGAATAGATAGGAAAATTGAGTTCCCAAATCCCAATGAAGAGGTATGCACTACATACGAAGAAATCCGTTAGCCGTTAATGAATCTTGTGTATTGCGTGCCTTAATCTTTGCTTAATAAATCTTGTGTATTGTGTTCCTTAAATTTTTCTATATTACTTTAAACTAGTTATGTAACCTAGAAATCTGCGCAGCTTCTTACTTTTTTCCGTTAATTTTCATCTTCAATATTATAATTTGGCTTTGATATAGTGATTTTACCCATTTGATCTTCATGTGGCTAATTGTGCAAAAAACAATTTCAGTCTCGGTTTGACATCTTGAAGATACACTCAAGGAAAATGAATTTGATGAGAGGGATTGACCTGAAAAAGATTGCTGAGAGGATGAATGGTGCATCTGGTGCAGAACTTAAGTTATGTTTGGAATCTTTAGTTACCTTAACCAGTTAGAAAGCATTCATTTCTTGAAGTTATGATTTGCTATGACCAACTTGCATACACATGTTCACATTGACTTCCAATGTAGAAATCCTTATCATACGTTCCAATGATTAACCCTTGTGCTGTTAAAGTTGTAACTGAAGAAATTTATCTGTCTGGATGTGTTGTTGTGCATCCTCTTGTTTGTTGCTGAGCACTGTGGAGTCTAGAGGCAAGAGCTCTCTAGAGTATATGTTGCAAGTCTTGATGATACTAGGAATTAGAATGTCGATGTTCATCTGGGAATCTCATTGTATATTGGTCAACATATACTGATAACTTTTTCCTCAACTGCATCAAGACAAATCAATTATAATGAATGCAAGCTCATGCAAATTAATTAACCGTGCTTTTGCTACTCATACTACTATTGATCTCGATTGAACTTTGTATGCATCAATTATTTCAATGAACAACATATGTCTAATTCGTTTAATTATGTGACGTACTCCGTGCGTGATAACTATTTTCCTTTCAATTGGATGATGACAAGAGTAGACTTGTGAGTTCCTTTGTAAATGTCCATTGATGATATCTACTAAAGAAAGCTCAAATTTAAGCTTTTAGTCCTGTGGCTTTATTATTTAAAAATCTGTTATATATTGATCCCTGAAAGTTGCAACAGCATGTAGCTGAGTAGATATATCGAAGCTATATTTGGTTTTTTATCCTTGTTTGTGTTTGGAAACATTTTTCGCCCGAAAAGATGCCTTAAAATTGTGAATGGTTTGCAGGCTGTTTGCACAGAAGCCGGGATGTTTGCTTTGAGAGAGAGGAGGGTTCATGTGACCCAGGAGGACTTTGAAATGGCTGTTGCTAAGGTCATGAAGAAGGAAACAGATAAAAACATGTCTTTGAGGAAGCTTTGGAAATAATAGAAAATGTTTCGGTTTGGCGTTGAATGCAAAATACTGCAACTTTGTGCCTACCTGACCTTGTACTGTTTGTTTTTCTCGGGAAGTTGTCACGTCATTATTTTAATATCTGAAAGTTCCGTCTTCACCTTACAACTTCTACGTGTTTGATGGAACTATTTCCTAATTTGGCCTGATTTGTACTCAAATGCATGGTAAACAGGCCTACGAATAGGGTTGTTAATGGATTGAATTTTGATTCGAATTCGATCCGAATTAATGGGAGATGGATTTAGAATCTCAATCCGATAATCTGATCAAGATCCGAATTCGATAATCCGTTAACTTTAATAGATCAAATATGGATATATGTCAATTCGATCCGATTTGTTATAAATAATTGAGTCGGTAAAATATTTTTATAGCTATTATTTGTCACTAAAATAAATAAATTTAGAATACAAAATTAATCACATTCAAAACATAAAAAAATTGAAAAATTTATAATTATTGAAACTATTTAAGAATTGGAAAATTTGAAAAAATAAAGTTGATTTCAACCAATGTTTTAAAAATCGACCCGGGTATTGACTCAAAGAAAGAAAAGGGTTAAGGGTCAAAGAGTCGAATCGGGATTGAATCGGTATCAAACCGGTTGTCAAATTGCATAAATAACTATACATATAAATGTAAAATATTATGAAAGCAATAGATTTTTTTTTTTTTAAATTTTAGTTTACTAATTTAAAGTAAATAAATATCTATATTTTTCTTAATTAAATTTATTATTGTAATTTATTTTACAACTTCAAAAACTAATAATTAATATGTAACAAATAATTTGATTTGTTAATGGGAAATANATGAAATAAAATATTTATATTTAGAATTGAAATTCAATTTTACCTTATTCCACATCGAATGTCAATAGAAAGCTAGAAGATGATCTCTCATTTAAAAAGGAATATCATGATGGTAGAAGTCACTATTGGACTTGCTAGTAAAAACAAGTGGGCCTCAAGTTAGTTCAAATTTTTTTAAAGAACATCGATTTTTCTTTTCTTATTTTTTATTAATTTCGGATCGGATTATCGGATCGGATATCCGATAACATAGCAAATCAAATATGGATTTAACAATCAAATATCCGTTGGAATATCGGATCAGATCAGATAATTTTCTTATAGGATCGGATCAGATATAGACAGATCCGATCCATTTACAGCCCTTCCTACAAAGTGCGTCAGAGTGGGTGGGTTGGTTCGAATAGGCCAACTGACGTATGAAATCAGCATGGACTGCATATGTTAAAGGACCTGCCCATGACTGTTCTCGGGGTAATTTACAAAAATAACCTTAAAATTAGGACAACTTACAAAAATATCACTAGAATCAAATGTCTTCCGGAAAATCATATGAAATATATTTGGAAGTAAAAGACACTTTGTAAAATTAAGTGTCACCTTTTGTATTAAAAAGTGACATGTCACTTTGTTCGTTAAAGTGACACGTCACTTTCATTAAAAAGTGATTTTGCCACTCAAAAAAGTAATGAAAATTTCAAGAAAGATTTTTAAGCAAAAAGGTAGTGTGAAAATTTTAATGTTTTATGTAACACATGTATGCATCTATTTAATTAATCCAAAAGAATTCATAATTTAGTTGCTTTAAGAAAATTCAAATGAGAATTCTTGAAATGATAGCGAATGTTACTTTTCTCATTCGTGTTTGTATTTATATTTTCAAAGTTTACTTATGAAATGAATTCAAACCTTGTAATACTGTATAAAATTATGTCACAATTTTATTAAAGAGTGACATACAATATTATTTTTTATTAAAAAGTGATGTTTGTCATTCAAAAAGTTACAGCAATTTTTAAAAAAGTGACTAAAATTTTAAAAAATGACAAATACTAAATTATGACAAAGCACCTACAAAACCTATATTTGTCACAAAAAAAAAAAAAAAAAA